CTTGGATGTGGTGAAAGATTCTGAAATACCGAGATGCAGCAAAGGCACTTTGCAGAGTCGAACTAAACAACGGAGAATCTGCATCGTTCTGGTATGATTCTTGGTCAGAGATGGGCTGCTTACTTGACATCGTTGGAATGCGAGGGGTAATTGACATGGGGATCAGACTTAGCTCCACGGTGGCGGATGCATGGGATACCCGGCGAAGAAGGAGACATCGAGTTTCGATTCTCAATGATATAGAAGACACGCTTTCTGCCAAGTACATGCAGCAAAACCCAAATGCAGACAAAGTAATGTGGAAAGGCAAAGGGGATAGTTTCAAGGCCACTTTCACCACAAAAGACACTTGGAATCATATTCGGACGACTACGAGCAAGGTCACTTGGCACAAGGGTGTTTGGTTCACTCACGCGACACCCAAATACTCCCTATGCGCCTGGCTTGCGATGCACAATCGCCTTTCAACTGGAGATCGAATGAGTCATTGGGGTGCAGGTGCAACTTCTGCCTGTATATTGTGTCCCAACCTCATGGAAACACGGGGACATCTCTTTTTCTCATGTCCGTTCTCCTCTGCAATCTGGTCAAAGCTAGTGAAAAAGCTTCTAAACGCCATATACTCAACCGATTGGGAGGTCATTGTTGAACACATCACGGACTCAGGACTGGAGCGCATCCATGGTTTTCTCATAAGGTATGTATTCCAAGCGTCCATTCATACAATTTGGCGAGAACGAAATGCCTGACGGCATGGAAATCCGCCAAACTCAGCAGATATGCTCATCCACTTCATTGACAAACAAGTAAGGAATCGGTTCATCTCGATTCAGGACATGGGTGACAGAAGATATGCCGAAGGGCTTCAAACATGGTTTGCTCTTTCGATATAAGCTCAATCGAGTGTTATATTTAAATTTCAAAACTCTCAAATAGTTATCTGATGTAAAAGAACTTCTCTTTTTTGAGTTAATTTAACATATAATTCAAAAAAAAAAAAGAAGCATCAGAAGTAACGGCACTTGGTTGTACATGAGTAGAAGGAGAAGGAAGTAACTAATCATATCTCCTTTTTTCGTTTTTGTTTTTGACTGCATTTCTTATTATTATATGTATACAAATCTTATATTCATATTTAATAATTAACTGGCATAACAATTTTGATAAAAATTAGTCAATAATAATAATTATCATTTATGATAAATAAGTGACTGGTTTGTTCAGTAATATATTTATAAAAAAAATTAGTTAGTGAAAAAATGTTATAATAGATTTGAAAAATTGTATATAGGAAAAAATAAGATATGCGCAAAACTCAAAAATACTTAAAAGACATTTAAAAAATAGTTTTTTTATTCTTAGTCTTCTACTTTTTATTCATATATTTTTTCATCTTATTATAGTTTTTCTTCTTACTGAGTCATCTTTCATCCCATTTTTGGTTCCCAATTCTCGGTATATTATTGGAATGCATTCAAATATGATATAAATTTTTGTTTTTTGTTTGTAATGGGACACTATAAGATGATAACTTAAGAAATTCTCAATCTAAAACTCTGATTACGTAAATTTCTCACAAAAACTTGAGTTTGTAAATATTTCGCCAAAAAACTTACTTAAAAATAAGATTCTATAAACTTTTAATCAAAACACGATTCCGCAAATTTTCTGCCAAAAACGTGAATCATTGACTTTCCAACCAAAACAATTACGTCAAAACATGATTTGAATTTTTTTTTGACAAAATTTCAAATTTGTAAATTTTCCGTCAAAAATAAATCCATAAAAAAATTCGCAAAAAAATTACATTGAAAATTTGATTCAAAAAACTACCATTCAAAAAATTGATTTCATGAATTTTCCGTAAAATAAGTGAAGCCGTAAATTTTCTGCCAAAAAAATTTACTTAAAACCTTTATTTTCATATAAAATTCTGTAAAAATCCGATTCTAAAAGTTTTCACCAAAAACATGAATTTGTAATTTTCCAACCAAAGTATTTATTTTAGAGTATTTTTATTTAATTTCGTGAATTTATCACCAAAACTTATGAATCCATAAATGTTTTGTCTAAAAATTATATCAAAATCTTTTTCGCAAAATAGGCTGCCATAAATTTTCCATTAAATACTTGAAATTTCGTAAATTTCCCAATAAAAGTATTATGTTGAAAATGTAATTTCAAATCTATTTGACAAAAATTTCATTTCCTAAAGTTTCCACCAAAACTTGAGTACTTTTGTATCAAAATTTTAACATCGAATTTTATTTATAGATAATAATATTATATCACAAGCCACGTGTACTAAAAAATTGATATGTCACAATTACATCATCATTATACGTTATCATTTTTACATCACATTGAAATTGCTCAAACTAAATATACTAACTAATTAAATAAAAACAAGTCAGTAATTTTTATTAAACTACTAGGATAGTCATTGAAATACTTTTAATATTAACTTTTGAAAGGGAGTGACTAATTTATTAACACATCTAATCAGAGAGTATGTCCTACACATTTTTTTTGCTTTTTCTGCTTTGCATGGAAAGTTTTATTCCATAATACAATAAACTGCATTTACAACTACCAATAGTGGGCCAAATTACAATTTCGTCCAATATGTCATAGGAAAATCCTACGTGTATAGAATAATCAATTTGTGATGTGTGCCAAGCACAGTACTTGTTTGTAACTTCTAAAGCACATCACACTCTGTTTTCTGTAGTATGGTTGGCCTGATAAGGGTGAACTTAAGACAAATTGAGTTCACACTTTTGTTAATTTTTGTTTGCAGATACAAAGATCCCAAAAGATCTCTCGTCATCTCATCAATAACGCAAAAAAATAACTCCCCTTTTGGGTCAAATTTGAATAATATATTCAATGAACAACTACTGAGCCAGTTCGGAATACAAAAATGTGACCCCATGAGATTTAGTACCTCTAGCCAAATAGTCCGCCAAACTATAGCTAGTAAACAAGAGAAATAAACGAAAATTTTAAAAATTATAAAAAGACAGTTTCAAGGAACATAAAGAATCAAGTCAACTATCTATCTTTTTCTTTATTTATCTATCATTTCGTATGGGTTAAGATCGGTCTTTGGGTCTTGAGTTCTACTTGGATTCTAGGGTTTGCCTCTTTTTTTCTTTTTTGCCAAATAGGGTTTGCCTTTTCTCACGTTATTATTCAAAGACTCATTGTTGTACGTAACAAGAACGACAATTGATTGATTGAATATATATAAAAGAGATTTTCATTTTTTTTTTATCTTTCAAGTTTCGGCTAATCACTCGAATTTATCGTCTTCTAGTTTGTCTTTTGTTTAGCTATTTTTTCGAATCAACAAACATCAGATGTTGTTACGCTTTGGCTGCGCCAAAACGTGACCACTCCAAAGGTGCAGTGCAGATACCATCTTGATCAGGTCTCAAAAAGAGCTTACATGTGTCTGATGATTCTCTCCAGTCTCCATATAAGCTCCAAAACTCATAACATTGTTTTCATGTACTAGAAAGGAATATGGATGGACCAACGACTAAACTTAAAGTCTGATGTGTCAAAAGAAAATCCTACGTGTGAGGAAAAAGGTAAAATTCATTGTGCAAAACACACAACTCCATGAGCTAATCACAAATCCTAGTGAGGCAGTCCTGACCACAGAGTGCGTTCACCACTTGCGTTACCTTTTATTTCCATCTATAAATTGCCTCATCAGTCTCTCATATTCCTACACCAAACTCACATCAATATTAAAGCTCATCACACTTCTTGTGGCTCTCTCTCTCTTTAGGCCTCTTTATTGCTTTCATCTCTCTACTTTCATAACCCACAAAAAAAAACAAATTAATTATGTCTTCTATCGCAAACTTTGTCATCAAGAGTTTTAACCGTGCTTCCGCAGAGCTTGAAGATGTGGTGGACAGTTCTCTAGGGGCTTATGTTGAAAATGGTGGTGATGACGATGACAGTGGCTACGATTATGCTCCAGCTGCATGATTTGTCTCCTATTAGTATAAAAATGTAATTTAAGAGGAAAAACCAAAGAGATGATATGGTAATTTAGATATCTAGCTATGCTATGTAGGTACTAGATAGTGTGGTGAGGCTTCTTAGATGAACAAACATGGTTTCGATAATCTCTTTTTTGTTGTCTCTGTATTTTTGAAGTTAATTTAACGTTCATTTAACTTTTTCATCCTAAGTTTTATGTTTTGTGGTTCACGCAACATTCGATGTTTTAATCAGAGAACGCCGAATATAAAACTTAAACCAATCGTTGGAATTACACCAAGGGGAAGCCACGCATGTATTTAGACACCAGGAAGCATATGGGTTTGTTCTGGACATGCGTTTTTAACATCAATTTTGGCAGCATGGAAAAACCCTCTTCTATATAAAGAGCTTGACCCCAACACCTTAGGCATCACTTTTCATAGCTCAGAAGCACTTAAAAGACTTATTTCAGGGCTCTAAAGTGAGTGAATGTTTTTAGGGAGAAGGAGGAGTTTCAGAAAACGTCGGAAACCTCCAAACTTCCTAACTAAAAAAAAAAACTTCCGGCAAATAATAAAATCTTTGGAGAGAGAAGAAACCTCAAGAGAACTTCAGGAGTACCTCTGAGAAATAGGAGGACCCTTTGAAAAAATCTCTGGAGAGCCGCCAGAAGAAACATGGGAAGAGCTGCCTAGTCACCTCCTAAACTACACCGAGATTACCTTCTCGATGTTGTTATATTTTCCCTTCTTTTTCATTTATGTTTTTATTAAATTTTTGCTGTGCGCATAAAGAGGAAGTAAACCTCATGTTCCTATGGTTTGTGTTGATGTTGAGTTTAGACCCACTAATGATTTTTTCTTTTTTTTTGATAAAATGTAAATTATATTACCAAAGCATCGTTTAATTACAGGGCTACAATTAGCATATGACATCTATGGCCAAAAAAAGAAAAAACCAGTGAGAAGTACAATAAGATCAGATTTAACTATGAAGACTCAACTATGAGTTAACCAAGTAGAGAGAAGAAGGGGACAATCTTTCCCTTTTCTTCGGGCTAGGAGAATATCACGGATAGCATGATCAATGTGCCTGAAAAGGGTCGATGTTGGGAGAGAATTGACGTTGTGCAGTCTGTTATTCCTCTCCCTCCATAGCCAGTAAACTGTGGCATGGCAAGCAATCTTTCTCAGCACTTGATCCTTCTTGTTGGTGTTACTGGAGAGGAGCCACTGAATGATCTCATCCCAAGACTGGAAATTTGTAGAAAAACTCCCAAAACGATGCAGAACCTTACGCCAAATCTCGGAAGAGTAGGCACAGCTCAGAAATAGGTGGTCTCTACTTTCCTCATGCGCAGAGCAAAGGGCGCAAGTAGGGTCAACAGTGAGACCCCACCCTGCTAATCTTGCCTTCACCGGGAGTCTGTCGAGGGTGGCCGAGCAGAAGTTGAAAGCATGCCTTGGGATGTGATGCTTGAACCAGACCGCCTTAGCCCAATGTTTTACATTGCTTGAAGGTCTCAAAGCTTCCCAAGTTACTTAGTTGAGAAGTATTCGATTTCTTGTCCCGCGGACCCCAGAGGAAGATGTCTTCACCTTCTGAAACCCCCTTCTGAACCCCCCCCCCCCCCCCCCCCCCCCCCCCCCCCACTGATCTAAGAGTGTCCCTTAGCACTTGAATACTTGCATTTCTTGATCTCAAAGGGATTTGCCAATCACGAGATTGGAGAGCTTCAGCGACAGTTGTCTGAGCGTGGATCCATGTTTGTCGCGGGCCATTGTCTCCAATAAACGAGATCAGGGGACCGTGCCGTGACCAGTCATCAAACCAGAAGCTTGTGCGCTTGCCATCTCTGATCTCACAAGACAAAAGGGAGCGCACCAGCGGTTTTAGAGAAAGGAGGTGCTTCCAGATCCATGAGTCAACATTTGTTGCCACAGCAGATCAATAATTTCACCGTTTTAACTTGTGCTCTCGAGTCCAACCAACCCAAAGAGAATCTGTTGAAGAAAAAAGAAGCCACAGAAGTTTGAGATTCAGCGCTCTATTCCAAACAGCGAAGTTTCTGAGACCAAGACCCCCTTCCGATATTGGTAAACAGATTCCCTTCCAAGAAACCTTTGCGGAAGCACGTTGTGTATGATCTCCCCCCAAAGGAAGCGGTTACACAACTGCTCTATATCCCTTATGCACCCCTTTGACAGGGAAAAAGCACTAAACCAGAAGATAACAAGGCTATAAATGACCGAGGAGATGAGCTGCAGTCTTCCTGCAAAAGAAAGGCATTTAACTGACCAGTGGTTGAACTTTGCCTTGATTCTATCAGTCAGCGGAGAATAGTCCGCTTTCCAAAGCTTCATGTGGAGAAGGGGCAAACCCAGATAACGAAAGGGCATAGAACCCCTTCGGAAGCCAAAGCTGTCAAAAGCCGCAGCTTCCTTAGGGTTCAAACCCGCTACGTATAGGTCTGTTTTCTCCCTGTTCATATGCAACCCCGAGATGGCATGAAAAGATTCACTGATGATTTTATTGTAGTTAATTAATTATATTTGTTGAATCTACCTGGTTATTAGATTATGTATTTTCGTTGTGTTCAATGCTATTGATTAAATTCAACCTATGATTATATATTTTAGATCAGATGCAAAGAGTTTAGGAGGGTCGTATTGCTTGTATTTCGAGAACCATGACTAGTGACCATGATCTAGACTGGTAACAAAATCCTGGTCAAGTAAGGACTGACTAATTAATTCTATTAATGATTTGTCTATTGCTTGTCTGTTTCGGTTTAAGCAGTTGCGTATCATATGAGAATCCCTTGAATATTCAAAAAAATTCTGATTCTATGTATATTTTGAAAACATCAGTAACACAATTGGTAAATTAAATTTTGGTCTACTGATATTCATAATTTGTTTTAAAATATACATGTTTTCAAAAACGATTATAATTTGACCTGGTTGAAAATAATTTATGATTGTAAAGAATAGAAAATCACTTAATGCATATCAGATAGTGTATCTGGACATGTTAGTTTCTCTATCCAAATGAATTATCTGAATAGTGATAGAGAATTAATGTATATTTAATGATAAAAAGAGTAACAGCAAGATGATTATAATCTAGATGAGTTTTAAGTATGTAGGCAAATTTGTTAAATCTATTTGAATGAACCAAAATTGAATCAGTTGGATGGAGATGATTCAGTCCAAAATGAATATAATATATATGATATTTTTGCCAAAATCTCAAATTGTGGGTTTCCTATCAAAATCGCAAAAACGTGTTTTTTTGCTAAAATCTTTTTTATTTGTTAAAAGCACAAAATTATGTTTACACCAAAACCGTAAAATTATGTTTTTCCGTCAAAACAAAACACGTTGTTTTACCAATTCTATTTGGTTAATGAATATATGTTACATCAAATTAAAATAATTAAAATTAAAATTTAGTTAGATAAAAATGGGCATTTTAGTTATTTTGTTATTAAAATTATTTAGATGCAAATGTAAATTTACAACCAATTAACCAAACAAACAAAATTACACTTAGATGCATCATCCAAATGTACAAACGAAAATAGAACAAACATTTGAATGGAGTATTTTGATAAAGCATATGGATGAAAATAATAGATGAACAAACGAAGACAGTAAATGATTAGAAATGGGGATAGTTAAGAAGTTCGAACCGTGTCGTTGACAATTCATAGGCTATAAATTGGATTTCTATCTTGTACCTTTATAGTCGCCATAAATCGTTGTTACTTTTCTATTTGCCAACCATTTTCGTTGCCTTTTTGTGTTCACTCTCAGTCTCTCACCAATCAACACCATCATCGATAATCCTAAAAACATTTAAATCCCTTCATTTTACGTAGCTATACAGCCTACACTACATGCAACATTTACTATTTACCCCAAAACCGCTAATTTATTTTATGCGTGGTGTTAACTTTTGAACGTTTGTGCAGAAGGAAGATTAGTTTCATTGACGGATCAAAGCTAATCGCTATAAAATATTAAAATTCCAAATAAATTTGACCAAAGTTTTCCGTTAAATCTCCTTTTTCATTTTAATTTTTGTTTTTGTTTTTGACTGCATTTCTTATTAACACTTTACCATTTAACTAACAATCAAAAGCCATTTAATTATTTTTAATATTAATTTTTAAATGGGAGTGAATATTTTATCGGCACGTTGTAACCGATTTTTCAGAGAGTACTATGCCCTACACATTTCTGCTTTGCATGGAAAGTTTTATTCCATAATACAAATGCTGCATTTACAACTACCAATAGTTGGCCACATAACGATTTCGTCCACTGTGTCGTAAGAAAATCCTACGTGTTGAGAATAATCAATCTGTGTTGTGTGCCAAGCACAGTTCTTATTTCCAAGCACATCACATTCACACTCTGTTGACTGTTGTCTGCAGTGACTAGTGAGATTGACCTGAGAGTGAACTTAAGTCCAATTGAGTTCACAGTTTTATTAAAGTATAATTTTGCAGATATATACAGATCCCAAAAGATCTCTCTTTATCTAATCAAACGCGAAAAAAAAAAAAAAAAAAACACATTTTGTTTCCAATTTGCATAAGTTAGCATTTTCTTTTTGTCCATTAGAAGGATGTCTTCTGTATCCGAAAGTTTTCGGCATATATGACCATGTATGTAAATCTTGTGGAGGCAACACGACTAATAGTGATCAAGAATACGGTCAAGCTTCATGTTTCATGTGTAGGAAATAGTGACGATATGATTATGCCCGGGCAGCATGAATACAATATATGCGTAGAATATTTGGTTAGATAATATACGTACACAAAAAGATAAAAAATAATTTATAATATATACATACACCATGCATGGTTTTGTGTTGTTTATCGATTTAACATTATTCTCTATAAATCATTAAAAGAATGATTCCCTCGATATCTTTTCAATGTTCTATTTCTCTCAGATCTTTTCGCATGGTTTTCTGTTTAAATGAAATAGAAAAAATCTCAAAGCATAAATGTGTTTATACAGAGATCAAGAATGATATAGAATAACTTTCTTTATTTTATTTTGTTTATTTATTTTTATTTTTTGAATTACTAAGAGGTTCTGGGCCGAAGTCCGTAATCCCCCAGACCCGAAATCACAGCATGTAATATTGGTTTCGTCCCAAGCATTACTCGATCCCGTGATCTCTAAGTTTTGTCTAGGATCTTTTTACCAATCGAGCTAACAACACTTGGTATAACTCTCTTTATTGCTTAAGAAAATAACTTAAAACTTAAGCTTTCTCAATCTCAAAACTCATAAGTTATGCCACACATTGGCATCTCCTTATATAGAGAGATTAAGACCAAAACCAAAGTATATTAGGAATCCTATTTATAATTAGATAACTCCTTAATATATTCGTAATATCTAGCTTATATCTTATGCTTTCTTCAAGCTTAATCCAACATTTTCCCTCCTAAGCTTGAAGTCAATGTCTTTGAAGTCTTCAACACCAATGAAATCTCTCATCTCCTTAAACTTGATTCTTCCAAGTGCCTTTGTCAAGATGTCCGCCTTTTGCTCATTTTTAGGAACATGTTCGACATCTATCAGCCCTTCTTCGACACATTCTCTTATGAAGTGATACCTTGTGTGTATGTGTTTACTCCTGCCGTGAAACACATGATTTTTAGTGAGAGCAATAGCCGACTTAATGTCGATCCGAATAGTGACCTTCTCGCACGGTAATCCAGTAACTTCGCTAAGCAGGTCCTTGAGCCAGATTGCTTGTCTTGCAACCTCTGTACCTGCCATGAACTCAGCCTCACACGAAAACAACGCCACCATCTCTTGCTTCTGCGAACACAAAGTAATTGGGCTTCCTCCAGATAGAAAACGTGACCAGTTATACTCTTTCAATCATCCGGGTCAACGTTATGGCTACTGTCGCCGTAACCTATTAGTTGCGGTATCTTCGTGTGTGATCGATCGAACCTTAACCCAAGCGTGGTTGTACCTCGTAAGTATCTCAAACATTGCTTCATTGCAACTCCATGAGACTCTTTTGGATTCTGTATATAGCGACTGAGTACTCCCACACAATAGTTTAAATCTGGCCTTGTATGAAGTAAATAGCGAAGACAGCCAACATTCTTTCGATACATCGTAGCGTTGATATCTTTTTCTTAAGTGGATTTTGAGTGCTTCAGTCCAGACTCCATTGGTGTGTGAACTAAGTTGCATTCTGCCATTCCTGCTTTTTCCAGAATTTTTAAAGCATAGCGTTCTTGTTTCAGCAATATTCCTCCTTCGTATTAGCATACCTCGTTTCCAAGATAATATGTCAACAAGCCAAGGTTGCTCATCTCAAATTTTGAAGCCATCTCGGTTTTAAACTTGTCAATGACCTCTTTGTTTGAGCCTGTTACAAACAAGTCATCAACATATACTGCTATGACGAGAAGGCTGCTGACTACTGTCTTTCGGTAAACCGATGGTTCTTTCGAGCACCTTTTGAATTTGAGTTCAGTGAGGATTTGATTCAGCTTGTTGTTCCATGCTCGAGGTGCTTGTCATAGACCATATAAAGCTTTATTTAGCTTGTACACCATATGCTCACTTCTATTTTCCTCGAATTCTTCCGGTTGTGTTACGTACACATTTTCGTTCAACTCTCCATGGAGAAAAGCTGTTTTTCACATCGAGATGATGTATCTCCCATCCGTTTGTTGCTGCAAGATTTATAAGAAACCTATAGTTTCGATCTGGGCTACTGGTGCAAACACCTCATCAAAGTCAATACCATAGCATTGAACGTATCCCTTTGCCACAAGTCGAGCTTTGTGATTGTTAACACTTCCATCCGAGTTACGTTTGAGTTCAAAGACCCACTTCAAACCGATTGGTTTTGCTCCGTGTGATAGATCGATTAGATTCCAGGTGTTATTCTTCTTTATGGATGCAATTTCATCCTCGCAAGCACGCATCCACTCCTTCGATTCCATGGCTTCGTAAAAATCATATGGTTCGTTGTTTATACACAGCAGCAGCTTTTCTTCCTCTTCTTCCGCGACTTCTTCCATGAGCATCACATAGTCTTTATGTCATGCAGGTTTCTCTCTCTCTCTCTCTTTGTGTCCTTCTTTGCTCAGGTTGAAACGTTTCTTCAACCTCTGTTT